ACATGGAGATAAAAAGGTCCTGTAACAGCAAAAGAAAATCAAGATAAGGAATTCAGAAATAGACCCACACTTATGTGATCAACTGATTTTTGACAAAGGAACCAAAGCAAGTCAAGGGAAAAGGAAAGTCTCTTCAACAAATGCTGCTGGAACAACCGGACATCCACGTGAAGAACCATGCACCTCAACCCCTCATCTCACACCATACACAAAAATTAATTCCAGAGGGATAAATTGGGAGATCGGGATTGACATATACACACCACTATATATAAAATAGATAACTAATAAGGACCTACGGTATAGCACAGGGAACTCTACTCAATACTCTATAATGGCCTATATGGGAAAAAGAATCCAAAAAGAGAGTGGATACATGTATATGTATAACTGAATCACTCTGCTGTACACCTGAAACTAACACAACATTGTAAATCAGCTACACTCCAATAAAAATTTTTTAAAAATAAAAATAATAAAAATTTGTATCATGAAAAAAATAAAGTTGACAGTAAAAACAAAAACAAAACAAAACTAATTCCAGATAGATTAAGACCTAAACAAAAAAGGTAAAATTATAAAACTTCTAGAAGAAAACAGAGTATCTCTATAGTTAGGGGTGGGCAAAGATTTCTTAGAACACAGAAAGCAATAACCACAAAACAAACACAATGGTAAGTCAGTCTCATGAAAATGAACAACTTCTCATAAAAAACACTATTAAGAGAATGAAGTTATATTTTATAACAAATATAAAGGCTGGAATATTATAAATATATAAAAGCCTATGTGTGTATACATACACACAGACCTGGAGTAAAGGTCTGACAACTTTCTTGTATATTAAGCATACACCCACACCTACGCTACAACCAGCCCAAGAGAAATGAAAACACATATCCAGAAAAAGACTTGTAAAAAAGAAGAATTTGTAGCAGCTTTTTCAAAATACTCCCAAACTGGAAATGGTCCACATGTCACCAATAGAACAGATAAACTGTGCTATATTCATTCACACAATGGAATTCAATGCAATCATAACAAGGAAGACCTAGATTAGCAGTGAGCACATCCGACATCCAGACCTTGGTTTCTAAATACCATTTCTGCTGAAAGCAAATGGCTCCAGGGCTCTTTGGAGAAAAAGCTGATTCCCAGGACTGAGGCTGGGAAAGAATAAGATGATTCTGGAGCATCTTGTTCGTCAGAAAAGAAAGAAGTGCTTAAAGAATGATGGGAATATCCCAAGAGAACACAAGAAGCAGCTGTGAAGTGTTCCCACAGGACACATTTGGGACAATCTGAGCATCAAATAATGATAGTACTGGAATTTAAGTCATTGAATAAGAATCCCTGAGTTCATAGTGATATAAATAAATAAGTAGGGGAGAAGGGAAAGTTCTTCCTTACTGTATAATACCAACTAATACATACAGAAACAAAAATAGAGACAGAAAATAATCAATGGAGGCTACAAGTGTGGGTGACAGTTTAATGAGGAACCAGATAAACAGTCATTTTATGGCAGATGGACTTGGTGATACCACTCACGCACCTCCTGACAAGACTCACCAAGGACACATCCTTCCTCGGGTGCTTCTGACAAGCATAACCTGAATCTAAGAATGAGAAGCATCAGAAAAACCTAATAACTAGCCTGTAGCCTAGTTATTTTTCTTTTAACAACTGGGTCAAGAAAGACAAAGAAAGGCTAAGGAACAGTTCCAGATCAGAGAAGAATGAAGAGACGTGACAACGAAATGCAGCACGTGGTCCTGGACTGGATGCTGGGCTGGGGGGTGAGGAAGAATCAGCCAGAAGGCATACCGATGGGATAACTGACAAAATTTAAATATGGTCTGTTGCCCAGATAATAAATTCTATCAATATCAACCTTCCTGATTTTGATGTTTATTCTGTGGCTGTATATAAGAACACCTTTGATCTTAAGATTAACACACACTGAAATTTTGCAGGGGAAAAAGGGCATGATGTCTCCAACTTACTCTCAAACGTTTCTGGGGGAAAAGACGCACACGAGTGTGAACGACAAAGCAAACGGGGCAAAATGTAAGCAAGTGGTGAATCCGGGTAAAGAGATTAATCCAAGGAGTTTCTTGGATCACTGTCGCCATTTTTCTGTAGGTCTGACATATCAAAACCAAAAGGTTACCAAAACACACATACATAATTATAATTATTCTCCATTTAACATGAGGAAACAGCAGCTCGGGGATATTAAGAGACTCGCTTGGCCACAATACTAGAAGAGCCTGAATGCAGGTTTTCTGACCACAAACCTTCCCTGTGTCACTGCCCAGTCCCACCAGACATTAATCCAGCAACAGACGACCCCGTGGCACAGGCCACAGAGCCATGCCTCCCTCCCCCATCCCCTCTGCCCCCATTTCCTGTTGCCTGCCCAGCGCCCCCCAAGCTCGGGTCCCACACGCAGAGCTTGACCCCTCCTCGGGCCCCTGCGCCCCCCATTCCATCTGGGTTGCTTTCCTCCCACAGATGAGCAGAGTCGCCTTGCGTCCTCCAAGCCCACCCAAGGAAGCCCTTCTGCACGTCCCCCCAAGAAAGCAGCACGCCTCCCTCTGCGCCCGATTCACTTCCTTCCATTGCATTGACCACAATGACAGGTCATGTATTTATCCTCCCTGATGGAGTATAGGCTCCACAAGGATGGGGACTTGGTCTATTTTTTGTTCACTGCTATATATTCGCAGTTCTTGTAACAGTCCAATAGTTCTTATAATAGCCTGGCATGTGTGTGCCATGCTCGAAATATATTTACCAAATGACTAAATAAATGAATAGAGGCATGTGATTCCAATTAAATGTGCAACAGAATTTTTCTGGAAATTGACCAGTTGGTTCTAACATGTGTATAGAATAGAGGTGCTCACCCTACAAGGTACACAGCCGCAAAGCGACAGTAACTGAGGATGCCAGTGTGACGGGAACCCAGAGCTTGCACTAAAACAGAACAGAGTCCACACACTCCGGCAAATGTGGGTGAGTGGGGGTCAGACCGAGAATCACCAGCCACCTGGGAAAAGAAAGACTCCTAATAATGATGCTGGGGTAACTGTTTCCCCATACGGAAAAATAAAAAATTGAATTCTGACCTTATACCATACAAGAATAAATTCCAGATAATTTAAAGATTTAACATTTAAAAAAATCCTATAACACTGTAAGGAAAAGGAGATTAGGATATGACCTCATCGTAGAGAAGGCTTCTTAAAGACACCCTCAACTCCCCCCAAACCATAAAGGACAAGGTATATCGCGGTTTGACTTCAAAATAAAAAACACGTGAAAAAAATGGATGGTAACATATGCAAGAGATCAGTGAACTGGAGGACATTTGCAAGGTCTCCTGTAACTCACTAAGAAAACGCCCCACAGCCCAACAGAAAACCAGACCAAGAATGTACGGTGGTGACTCGCCAGGGAGGGAAGCCTCATTGTCAACATGCACATGAAAAAACTGCCCAGACTCCAGCAGTCACAGAAAAGCTCGTTATAAGTGACACATTTTTCACTCATCAGATCAACAAAAGTTCATCAGACAAAATTTCCAAAGATGTGGAAAGCAGGAACTTTCAAATACTTCCACTGAGACTGAAAAATAGTACAGCCCGCTTTAGAGAACCACTGGCTCTTGTCAAACTGGAGATGCACATTTTTTACGACACAGCACAAGGCTAGTCCACGTAAGCATTGTTTCTATAAGAAAAGAGTGAATATACTGAAACACTCACTGATATGAGAATAAAGAAATAAAAGGTACTACATTTATTTTGTACAATACAGTGGTTACAAGTAACCAGATCTATCTATACATAACAATATAGAGTCCCAAGATATATGTAATAAGTGAATATACAGAATACAGACAGCTTGATATTTTGTATCAAGACCAGAAACACCAGAACAATACCATTGTTCCCTTATGACAGTAGGTGGCCACGTGAAGGATGGATGGGTATATAGACTCGCGGTGCTGGCTGTCTCTGTAGAGAACAGGAGGGAACAGGGCAGCGACAGCTGCTTAAAGGAACTTGGCTTACGTCGCAATGTGTTATTTCTTTTTAAAAAAAATGGGGGGGTGCGGAATATTACTTCTGGGTGGCAGGGATGTGGACGTTTATTATCTGTCCTTTTGGGTCACTTTCCAACTTTTCGTCTGCAGTGAACCTCCTCTGCGCTCAACCACATGCTCTGCTCCGGCTCTGGCACCAACATTGGCAGCGCTGGACACGCTAAGGACAGCACGATCCTGAACCTGAAATATGACTACACGTGATTTTAGCCTTAACTGACAGCCTCAGCCCTACCCCCTGTGAGCTGAGACTCACGGCATTCATCAACATGATAATTTAAAAGCAAACTGCATGGAAAACACGTTCTCCATTTACATGAGGGCCTCAGAGCGACCCGTCTTTTGTACAGAAGTAAGGTAACCACACTCCCTTTTCTCCAGTGCCATCTGGTGGAAAAGAGAGGAAACCTCATCTGTACCTTCCACAAAAAAACCACGGTTCTTTTCAGTGAAGCCCCTCTTTTATTCTGGGGCTACTGTGAAGCAACCGTTTACTTTCTTTAGTGCCATCTTCAAACTAAATTCTTCAGCCTACAGGTTCGATAAGAAAGATCTGCTCTTTCCTCTTCCTCCGCTCAGATTCCTTCTCTAAAAATTTTGTAATCAGATGATGCTCCTTCCTCAGGAGACTATTCTGCATCCACAGTCCACATTCAGCTGCATCTCAAACCCTCCAGAGTAAACAATTCCAACAGTTGATTTCTGTATTAAACATTTAGTATCGTTTGCTTTTACATAAACTATGACGGCAAGCATTTCTCCTTTAAAGGACTTTTTGAATATAACATGTTTTCACATAAATATGGTGTGGAAATTACAAATAGTTCCCTCTTCCAAGAACTGGATGAGACAGTAAAAAAGAAAACATCCAGTATCTTACCAAGAGCCAATAAAATAGGCCAGATTTTTCAGACATTAAAGAAAAATACCAAAAAAACCCAGGACATTAAAAAAAGCAAAAAAACCATAGTAACAGGATTATTACTCCCCCAGTTTGCAATACTGAATTCCTTCATCCATTTACAATCCAGAGATGTCACTGAGCAGGGCGGTAAAATTACCCTGGAAAATTCGAACTGTACTCACAAAACAGAAGTCAATTCTCGATGGTTCTCCATTAGTGTTTCATGTGGCTCTGATTCCACTCGAGCTTTATAACCTGCTCTAATGGACAGCTCTGTAACTGTTTCCAAGTCTGCATTAGCAGAGAGTGGAAATAAAGTCAAAGGCACTCCCTCAGAGGCTCACATCTGTTAGATTTCGATGCAGATTTAAATTTAGTGAATTTTGGTCACCCCAGCCAGGTGGCCCTGTAGGTTCACACACACACACTGGGTGGTTGGTTTCACTTCTCCTTTCTCAAAGTTTATGATAAAGACACTCATCCCTGTATTGGGGCTGACTGATGTGAGTTCGGACCTGCTCAGGGTCACCGGGAAGGAACACTTAAGGTCGGTCAGGAAATAATCCAACAGGCTTCTCATGTAGGCGCCGTGACTCACAACTAAGACACTGGCCACTAACCCTGGAGCGCCGCTGTCCGAATTAAACTTGGAGGCACAGTTTTTCCCTAAAGGAAATATCTCTGCCAAAGAACTTTCCAGACAGTCGCTCGGGACTTCTTGGGAAAACTGTTCACTCTGACCTGCTTCTTTCAGGATCAGCTGACAAAGAAATTCAAAGAAGTCTTTTCCACGCATTTTCACCTGCAAGGAAAGAAAAAAAAGGTGAAATAAAGTGACACTAATGACTGTTTTAAGACGTAAACAGAACTGAGTTTTTCTACACGTCAGCGTCAGTGACTACAGAAGCAGATGAAACACTGTGTTTCTATTCATTCAGTCAGTACTTCCACAGACACCGGTTAAGTAAGCGCCCACCTTATTTCTGGGCCCATGAAAGCATTTTGGGGACAAAGGTGAGTAAGATACGGTGACTAATTCCTGACTTCAAAGCACTTGGAGTCTAGCTGGGGAAATCTACAAGCAAACAGAAGCCCATAAAATGGCGGGAAACTAGGAATACCTAGGACACTGCATCGGGCACTTCCGTTCAATTAGAACAAGGATAAAAAGCCTTCCCTCACTAAACTAATACAAAGTCTTTACAAGAAAATTATGAAAATTAAAAAGGGGGGGATCACCAATAACACAACTCGAAAGCAGAACACTCCAGAGCGACGCAGGCAGGGCTACAACGTCACTTAGAGCTGCAGGCGCAGGACAGGCCTGATGGTCTTGCCACCCAAGTTGTTGGGCTTTGCCCACCATCCCGCTGACCAGCACCATGCCTGCTTCACCGACTCCACTGCCACTGTGAAGGCTACTGCTCCCTTTTCAAGGAGTTTTCTTAACGGACCCATCTAATAACCCATTTCCTCAAATCCATTATCGGTAATGACTTAATAAACGAGAAAGACAGGACTGCTTAAAAGGGGAAAAAAATGGTATGATGCAGACTTGTTTTGTGAACCAAACAACTTCCAAACTGCTTAGCTACAATTCAGAAACATCTTGCTCACGCGGCGAGTCAAGATTGCAGCTACTTTGACACTGGCATGCTCATGGATGCGGCGACTTTCCCCAGGGCTACGTACCTGGTCCAAGGTCTCTCCTCCGGGCGGTGTGAACACAGGGCACTCCTGCCCAGCTGCTTTGGCCATGGCCCTTAGCTCACTCAGCGGCCAGCCTTCCGCAACCCCGTATTTCTGCAATGATCCAACAGACAAAAAGGCCTCAAAGGAATTTGCAATACAACAACTAAGTACATGTTTATGGAAAATTCAGAACAATCATTCTGGGGATGAGCTTAGATTTCTTTGGCTTACTTTATCCTGTCTCCTCGGAGAAAATGCAAACCCAGATCCGTGTGACTTCAAAGCTCATTAGCTTTTCAGATTCATAAAAACTGAGTCTTAGCAAAGGACACGCAAGTCACAAAGAAAGTGCAAATGGCCAATAAACATGGGAAATCTACCTCACTAGGAATCCAGGGTGTGAAAACTAAAATGACACCTTTCATAAGTTATTAAATCAGAAGACCACAGAGATCACTAATAGCCAGTGTTGATGTGGGAAGAACTCTCTCCTAGATCATTCATGGGAGTATAAATTGGCACAGATTTTCTGGAAGGAAATGTAGCAATACATACAAAAGTCTTTTTAAAAAGTACACACTCAGCAATTCCATTTCTAGGAAATGTATGAGATATGTGTGTGAAGGATCAACTACAAAGATGTTTATATTTTAACATTATTTACATCAGTGGAAAATCTAGTCACAACCTAGATGTCCTAAACTAGGTCAGTAGTAGCTTGGTTAAACACACAACGCAATAGCAATATCTTAAGAATACAGAGTCATTAATTATGTGATCATACTGATGTGCATTTATGGGCACTGAAAAACACAGCATGTGAGACAAGCCAGTTAAAAAACAATGCACAGAGTAGGATTTCATTTCGAAAAACATATACACAAACAGATAGACAGACAGATAAAAACAGACAAGAAGGAAAAAGTCAGGAGCACACATACAAAAATATTCAGTGTTTGTGTGTGGTAGAAATTTTAATTGTATTTTTTTCCAAAGTGTTCTTAGTTTTAATTCCCTACAATGACAATGGATTACTTGCACAAGACAATACTGAAAGAGACAAATCGTCACTAATGGTTTGCACTGATGATGCCTAAAGATTCTAACACCACCATCAGATAAGAAATCCAATAGTGAAATATTACTTTTTTATAAGAATACATGCACACTTTACCAGCTGCTCTTCCAATCTTCAAGCCCAATTTCTTACACTCTTAATTATATCTGGAGCAACCTATTACAGAGGGCCATTAAAAGCCATCAGTTGCTTTGTTTTCACAGGAATGGAAGCATCCATTTGTTGAACACTCCAAACGCTTTGCTGGGGCAGTTAGGAGGAGAGGTCAGGCGGCTGCACAGCTCCCACCCTTGCTGAGACCGCGGGGTGGTGGGGCTACCAAGCAACTGCAGGTGGAAAAGTGCCGAGATGGAGAGAGACTGACAGATACGGCAGGGATGTCTAATCTGGACTCGGGAAACCACCGAGGGCCAAAGCCTCAGGCGAGTGGAAGCTGGCCAGGCCTGGGGGCAAGCATTCCAGGCAGAGTGGAGGACAGACGCGGAGGTTCAGTGAGCACGGGGTGTTCGGGAGACTCCGAGAAGAGGCTGAGAAGCGTGTGACCAGCGGTCCAGAGCACGGACTCCAGGCCCAGAGGCCTCAGTGTGAATCTGAACTCTGCCACGAATGAGCTCTGGGACCCTGGGCCTGGACTTGACCTCCACGTGCCTCGGTTTCTGCTTCTGTAAAACGGGGGTTAAGAAATGAGGTTTTTACATCTTCCCAGCACCGGGGTTCTTGTGAAGATGAACAAACCTGCGGCTCTTGAACAGCGGTGGGATGCGGTGAGCGGAGCGCCAATGCCCACTCATGTGACCGCTAAACCCAGGCACTGAGCACCCGGCAAGGGGCAGGAGGCAACAGATCAGACCCCGCAGCTCCCAAGAGCCAGGTCAGAGTTATGACAACTCCTGAGGGTAGAAGAGGAGCAGTGAACCCGTTTATACAGGGGTGTGGCAACCAAATTTTGCAAAGATTACGCTGGCTGCAGCGTGCAGATCAGACTGGAAAAGCGGGGAGCAAGACAGAAAGCAGGAGAATCACTGTCCCAGTGACCCAGGCAACAGAGGATGCTGAGTGGCAGCAGGAGGGCAGCGGGGGGCTCGCAGAGACATGAAGCATTCAGGAACTACTCAGAGGCTGAGCGGACGAGACGAGGTCAGGATGCGCAGTGCGAGAGACGGTGAAGAGCCGGCAGGAGGGTTTCAGCCACTGCGTGAAGCAGGGCCACGTGGAGAGGGGGGCACATTCCACTGGCCGGATGCGGCTGCAGGGCAGCTGAGCCACCGGCGGCTCGGTGTGTGTGTGCAGCTCAGGGGAGAGCCATGGACTGAAATCACTGCAGAGGATGAAGTTACTCAGGAGAGAGCATGGATGGAGAAGGGACGGCCCAGCTGATGACAGCGCTTTCTCCTTCACGCGATGGCGGGCCCTGGGCAGCGTTCCACTGAACTCAGGACGTTTTCTTCTTTTAATCTATTCAGATTTAGTTTTGGGGATAGGTGTATTTTTTGTTTTGTTTTGGTCGCGCCTTATTTTATTTTTTTGGCCACAAAGCACGGCTTGCGAGATCTTAGCTCCCCGACCAGGGACTGCACCCGCGCCCTCAGTGGTGAAAGTGTGCAGTCCTAACCACTGGACCGCCAGGGAGCTCCCAGGACATTTTCCTTTAACAACGTTCGAGCACTGGCTCCTGGGCACAGAGTGAGCCTTTCCAGGGACAGTTTATGCTGGAGCTCTAGTCTATACACTGAACTATAACAGTGAACACACGCAAGTTATGAAAAGCAGTTCTTTGAAGATGCCCTGGCCATTCTGTTACATTTCCCTCCAGGGGTAGAGGAAATCACAGGGCTGGCAGGACAGCAACCAGCTTACACGTTAGTATTATAGCGTGCACTAAAAACACTGCTCGAGGAGGAGGCTTGGGGCCAAATCTCAGATCTGAAATTGCCGTCTTTTAGCTAAATCACAGTTTCAGGAAGATTCATTTCTGGTAAAGTATATAAAGTTGGCATAAAGAAGTCTATTCATGCTTATAATTATGGGGTAGGATTAGGAGACTGGGAAGAGAACTTTTCACCTTTAACTTTAAACTCTTCTGTACTAAGTTCTCACAAGTATGCCTTGCTTTTATAATTTAAGATGCCTCTTTCCTATGATTTTAATGGTCAAATAAGACACTATTTATGAGAGTAAGTAACAGTAACTGCCACACAGTAGATTCTTCACGTAATAGCTGATATCACATCCCTAGCAGGTAGGCATTTAATTTCTGGCCATGGGATAAACTGAGTTGGTTTATTGATAATTTATGGTAAAAGAACAATATGTAAGTTACTTACCCTTTCTCGAAGTCTTGAATCATACTTTACTGTCATATCTTTGCAAAATTTGCTCTTCTCCAAAATTCCATGCACGGTCTGCAAATCAAAAGACAACTATCTCTTTTCTCATAAAAGTAATCATTCTTGGGGAATTCCCTGGCAGTCCAGTGGTTAGGACCCTGCACTTCCACTGCAGGGGGCCCGGGTTCGAACCCTGGTCAGGGAACTGAGATCCCACAAGCTGCACACGCAGCCAAAAAAAATATCATTCTGGGAGTGTTCAGGATGGTAGCATAGGAAGTCACTGAACTCACCTCCTCCCAAGGACAAGGAAAACCCCATAAGGCTAACAGCAGATTTTCCAGTAGAAACCTTACAGGCCAGAAGGGAGTGGCATAACATATTCAAAGTGCTGAGAATTCCAACTAAGAATCTTTTCCCTACCCAGCAAGGTTATTCAGAATTGAAGAAGCAATCAAGAGTTTCCCAGAAACAAAAGATAAAGGAGTTCATCACCGCTAAACCAACCCCAGAAAGAAATATTAAGGGGGGAATGCCCTGGTGGTTCAGTGGTTAAGAATCCACCTGCCAATGCAGGGGACATGGGTTTGAGCCCTGGTCCAGGAAGATCCCACATGCCCCGGCGCAGCTGAGCCCGTGCACCACAACTACTGAGCCTACATTCTAGAGCCTGCGAGCCATGACTACTGAGCCCACGTGCCTAGAGCCCGTGCTCTGCAACAAGAGAAGCCACCACAATGAGAAGCCCGTGTACCGCAACGAAGAGTAGCCCCCGCTCGCCTCAACTAGAGAAAGCCTGCGCGCAGCAACGAGGACCCAAGGCAGCCAAAAATAAATAAATAATTATATATATATTTTTTTTTAAAAAAAAAGAAATATTAAGGGGACTTCTTTAAGCTGAAAAGAAATGGCACTAACTGAATAAGAAAATATATGAAAGCAAAAATCTCACTGCAAAAGGTAAATATATAATAAAGGTAGTAGATCAATCACTTGATGAAGATGAAAGACAAAAGCAGTAAAATTACAATAATTAGTTAAGGGATGCATAAAATAAAAAGATGTAAAATGTGTCATAAAAAGTATAAAACATGGCAGTGGGGGGAGTAAAAAGCTAGTTTTGGAATGTGTTCAAATTTCAGTTGCTACCAACTTAAAACAGGCTACTACTTATATAGGATGTCATATGTGAGCCTCACAGTAACCACAAAGAAAAAATTTACACAAAAGAAAATGAAAAAAGGAATCTAAACATAACATTAAAGAAAACCACCAAACCACAAAGGAAGAGAGAAAGAGAAGAAAGGAGCAGAGAGAAACTACAGAAATAGCCAGAAAACAATGAACAAAATGGCAATAAGTACATACCTCTCAATAATTACTTTAAAGGTTAACTCAACTAAATATGCCAATCAAAGATACAGAGTAGCTGAATAGATCTAAAAAAAAAAAAAAGAGCCATTTATGGGCGGCCTACAAGTGACTCACTTCAGAACAAAGGACACACACAGACTGTAAAAGGATGGGAAAAGATATTCCATGCAAACAGGAATGAAAAGAAAGCTGGAGTGGCTACACTCATATCAGACAAAGTAGACTTCAAAACAGATTGTAATAAAAGACAAAGAGAGCATTACATGATAAAGGGGTCAATCTAGCAAGAAGATATAATTTTATAAATGTATATGCACCCAACAGAGGAGCACCAAGATATTTAGCAAATATTAATGGACTTAAAGAGAGAAACTGAGAGCAATACAATAATAGTAGGGGACTTACACAAATAGGTAGGTCATCCAGACAGAAAATCAGTAAGTAACATCAGTCTTAAATAATGGATTTAATAGATATAAACAGAACACTCCAACCAAAAGCAGCAAAATATCATTCTTAAATGCACATGGAACATTCTCCGGGATAGATCACATATTAGGTCACAAAAAAAGTCTCAATAAATTCAAGAATACTGAAATCATAACAAGCACCTTCTCTGACCACAACTGTATGAAACCAGAAATCAAGCACGAGGAAAAAAAAAAACAGGAAAAACCACAAAAATGTGGAGGTGAAACAACATGCTACTGAACAACCAATAGATCATCGAAGAAATCCAAGGAGAAATCAAAAAATACCTAGAGACAAATGAAAACAGAAATACGACATACCAAAATCTATGGGATGCAGCAAAAGACAGTTCTGAGAGAAGTTCATAGCAATACAGGTCTACCTTATGAAATACGAAAAACCCCAAATGATCTAACTTTACACCTAAAGGAACTAGGAAAAAAAAAGAACAAAGCCCAAAATTAATAGACAAAAGGAAATAATAAAGATCAGAGTGGAAATAAATAAAATAGAGACCAAAAATAATAGGAAAAATATCAACGAAAATAAGGGCTGGTTCTTTGAAAATATAAACAAAATCGACAAACCTACAGCTAGACTAACCAAGAAAAAAGAGAGAGGACCCAAATAAATAAAATCAGAGATGAAAGAGGAGAGGTTCCAACTGATAACACAGAAATACAAAGGACTGTAAGAGACTACTACAAACAATTATACGCCAACAGATTGAACAACCTAGAAGAAATGGATAAATTCCTAGAAATTTCAATGATTTTAAGACTAAATCATGAAGAAATAAAATATATGAGTAGACTAATTACTAGTGAGGAGACGGAATCAGTAATCTAAAATCTTCCAACAAAAAAAAGCCCAGGACCAGATGGCTTCCCTAACCACCTGGAACTCTACAAAACATTCAAAGATTTAATACCTAACCTTCTCGAAATCTTCCCAAAAACTGAAGAGGAGGGAAATCTTCCAAACATATTTTATAAACCCAGAATTACCCCTGACACCAAAACCAGACAAGGACATCACAGAAAGAACTATGGCCAGTATCCCTGATGAACATAAGATGCAAAAATCCTCAACAAGATATCAGCAAACCGAATCCAACAACACATTAACAGGACCATAAACCACGATCAAGTAGGATTTATTCCAGGGATGCAAGGATGGTTCAACATATGCAATCAACTAACATGGTACACCACATTAACTGAAGGATAAAAATCACATGATCATTTCAATAGATGCAGAAAAAGGATTTGACAAAATTCAACACCCATTCATGATTTAAAAAAAAAAAAAACTCTCAACCAAGTGGGTATAGAGGGAACATACCTCAACATAGTAAAGGCTATATACGACAAGGCCACAGCTAGCATCATACTCAATGGTGAAAAGCTGAAAGCTTTTCCTCTAAGATCAGGAACAAGACAAGGATGCCCACCATCATCACACTTTTATTCAATACAGTTTTGGAAGTCCTAGTCACAGCAATTAGGAAAGAAAGAGGAATTAAAGGCATCCAAATTGGAAAGGAAGAAGTAAAACTGTCACTGTTTGCAGATGACATGATACTATATGCAGAAAATCCTAAATACTCCATGAAAATACTATTAGAACTAATAAATGAATTCAGTAAAGTCACAGGATACAAAATTAATATACAGAAATCTATGGTGTTTCTGTACACTAATTAGTGAACTATCAGAAAGAGAAATTAAGAAAGTAGTCCCATTTACAGCTGCATCAACAAGAATAAAATATCTAGGAATAAATTTAACCATGGAGGTGAAACCTGTACACTGAACACTATGACACTGATGAAAAAAACTGAAGATACAAATAAATGTAAAGATATTCTGTGTTCATGGACTTGAAGAACTAATATTGTTAAAATGTCCATACTACCCAAAGCAATCTAGATTTGATGCAATCCCTATCAAAATTCCAGTGGCAATATTTCACAGAACTAGAACAAATGATTCTAAAATTTGTACAGAATCTCATAAGATCCCAAACAGCCAAAGCAATCTTAAGAAAGAACAAAGCTGGAGGAATCATGCTCCCTGATTTCAAACTATACTATAAAGCTACAGTAATCAAAACAGTATGGTACTGTCATAAAAACAGACACAGAGATAAATGGAATAGAACAGACAGCCCAAAAATAAACCCACATATATATGGACAATTATTTTACAACAAAGGAGCAAAGAACATACAATGGAGGAAGGACAGTCCCTTCAGCAAATGGTGTTGGGAAACCCAAGCGGCTACATGCAAAAGAAGAGACTACACTACTGTCTTACACCCTACACAAAAGTTAACCCCAAATGGATTAAAGACTTGAATGTAAGGTCTGAAACCATAAAGGTCCTAGAAGAAAACATAGGTAGTAACTTCACTGGCATTAGTATTTGCAATGTTTCTGTAGATCTGACTCTAAAGACAAGGGAGCAAAAATAAACAAGTGGGACTACATTAAGCTGAAATAGCAAAGGAAACCATCATCAAGATGAGAAAGCAACCTACTGAATGACAGAAGATAACTGCAAATCATATATCTAAGGGATTATAATATCCAAAATATACAGTTGATCCTTGACTATGGGTTTGAACTGCACAGGTCCATGTATCCATGGATTTTTAAAAATACATACTACAGTACTACACGATCCTCAGATGTGGAACCGTGGATACACAGGGCTAACTGCAAAGTTATATGCAGATTTTTGACTGCAAGGAGGGTGGGGGCCCCTAAGCCACACATTGTTCAAGGGTCAACTGTATGAAGAATGCACACCAGTCAACTACAACAGAAACCCAAACAACCCCGTTAAAAAATGGGAGAGCATCTGATTAGACATTTTCCAAAGACACACAGATGGCCAATAAGCACATGAAAAGATGTTCAACATCACTATTGTGGAAATGCAAATTAAAACTACATGAGCTATCACCTCACACCTGCTGGAATAGCTATCATCACAAAGACAAGAGATAAGAAACGCTGGAGAGAAAAAGGAACACTTGTGCACTGTTGGACTGCAAATTGGTGTAGCCACTATGGAAAACAGTACGGAGAGTCCTCAAAAAATTAAGAATAAAACTACCATATCACCCAGCTATTCCACTTCTGAGTTTTTGTTTTTGTTTTTTTGGTCGTGACATGTGGCTTGCAGGATTCTCAGTTCCCTGACCAGGGAATGAACCTGGGCCATGGCAGTGAAAGCCTGGAATCCTAACCACTAGGCCACCAAGGAACTCCCCCACCTCTGAATATTTATCCAAAGAACACATAAATACTAATTTGAAAAGCTATATATACCCTTATGTTCATTGCAGCATTATTTGCAATAGCCAAGGTATGGAAACAACCTAAGTGTCCACTGATAAATGAATGGATAAAGAAGATGTGGTAGGACTTCCCCGGCGGCGCATTGGTTAAGAATCCGCCTGCCAACGCAGGGGACACAGGCTCAATCCCCGGTCCAGGAAGATCCCACATGCCGTGGACCAACTAAGCCCATGTGCCGCAACTATTGAGCCTGATCTCTAGAGCCTGCGAACCACAACTACTGAGGCCGCATGCCACAACTACGGAAGCCTGTGTGCCTAGAGCCTGTGGTCCGCAACAAGAGTAGCCCCCGCTCACCACAACTAGAGAAAGCCAGGGTGCAGCAACAAAGACCCAACGCAGCCAATAAATAAATAAATAAATAAATAAATGGCTTGTTTTCGTAAATAACATTTTATTAGAACTCAGCCATTTATGTATCATTTATGGCTGCTTTCACAGTACAGCCCACAAAACTTAAAAATTTAACTAACTAGCCCTTTACAGAAAAAGGTTCTAGTTCATTAGTTCTCCATTCAGGTGTGTCTAAATTGGCTTTAAGCCCATCCACTGAATATTCATTTCAGTTACCTTTTCAGTTCTAGAATTTGCATCTGGTTCTTGTTTATAATTTCCAGTTCTCTGCTGAAATTCTCCATGTCAGTTTTATCCGTGCATTCAATGATTATTTTAAAGGCTACATCTGATAACTCCAGATACCGGCTAACTCCTGTGGCTCTTTCTGCTGCCTTTTGTTTTCGCTCATTTTTGTTCATGTTTCCTTCTCTCACTGTGTACCTGGTTACTCTGACAAGAGACACTGTATTTGCAAAACGGTGGAAATCATTAAAGTCCATAGTCTGCCTTGTTTTTTAACTCCCTTCCAAAAATCAGACACTGTTTTACACTGTCAATATTTGTTTATATTTACCTATACCTGTAACAATTTCTTTCGCTCACTATTCTTTTCTGAATCTCAGACACATCTCTTCTGGAATTACTTTCCTTCTTCAATTATCCTTTGAAAGTTTCTTTCTAGCTTGTTTGTCTGAAATGTCTTCACCTATTCTCTAGAAAATGTTCTGCTGGTGTAAAACTCTAGATTAATCTTTATTATCTCTCAGCACATCAAATTACTGTTGATATTGACACATTTGTTGATAGTCTAATACTGGTCTTTAATGGATAATGTATTTTCCTTCATGGTCTTTGGAGTTTTGCAATATTGCTGTAAGTGTAGATGTGTGGGTTTCTTTTTTTAATTCTGACCGGGATTTTTTTACACTTTCTGGATCTGATATTTTGCTATCTTTCAATAATTCTGTAGTTTATTAACTGTGACCTCTTCGAATATTGCCTCTTTCCCATTCTCTCTGATACTTCCTCTCGAAAGACGACAGACCTTCTCATCACATCCTTTTCTTAGTCTTATTTTTAATCTATTTATCACACTGCGCTACACTTCAGTTGCTATCTTACATTTATCTATAAGGAAATGACCATTTCAGCTATATCTAGTCTATAATTTAGTACAGCCTCTGAGGTTTTCATTTTTGGATAAACTTTTTCCATATTTTAGGTAAATTTTATTGAAGTATATTTCAAGTGTACAGGTCACTGAGCTGTGACAGATCTAAGTACCGCCAAGATCAAGACAGAGAAGAAGTCTATCAGCCGAAATGATTCCTTCGTGCCCTTGCCAGCCAATGCCTCCCACTCCTGGCACCCGGCCCGCACTACCTGCTTTATGTGTTCTAGAATCTCATGTAAATGGAATCACACAGTCTGCACTCTTCCACATCTGCCTTCTTTTGCTCAGATACTGTTCTGGGGACTCCTCTGTGCTGCTGATGAGTTGTATTCCACTGTATGAATATACCATGTTCATTTATCCATTGACCTACTGATCAACACATGGGTTGTTTCCACTCTCTGCCTATTACAAATAAAGTTGCCATTAAACATTTGTGTACAAGTCTTTGTGTGGACATATATTCTTACTTCTCTTGGATAAATTTCTGGGATTGAAACTGTCGGATCACACAGTTAGCGTATGTTCAACTTTCAAACCGTTTTCCAAAGTAGGTGTTCCATTTTACATTCTCACCAGCAACGTCTTGAGTTCTAGTTGTTCCACATCCTTTATCTTTCTAATTTTAGCCATGCACACGTTGTGTAATGGTATATGAGTTTCTGTCATGATCAATTATGCTGAGCACTTTCTCTTCTGTTTACTGGCTTTCCCCATATCTCACTTTGTAAAGTGCCCGGTCAAATTCAAATCTTTTGCCTATTTTAAAGTGGGCTATTTGTCTAATTACTGAGTTGGAAGAACCTTATATATTTATACAGCTAAGAGATATATATTGATAATACATACATACGTGTCAGATATATACACATATATTACATACGTGTAACACACGTTTACAATTTTCTCCCAATCTGTGTCTTGTTTATACTTTGTCCCAAGATGCCTTTATAAAGACTTTCCCCATTTCCTTATAGAATTTTCATAGATTTAGCTTTTAGATTTGTTCTATGAACACCTGCAAGTTAGTTTTTGTGGACTGTGTGAGGTAAGAGTCACATGTCATGCTTTCCTGCCTGGATGGTCCATTGTGTCAACACCCTTTATTGAAAAGACCATCGTTTCAACCACGGAATTACCTTGGCATCTGCGTCAAAAGCCAACTGACCAAAAAGACTAAACGAAAACAACTGACCATATAAGTGTGGGTCCCTCAACTTGTGCTTGAAAGAAAAAGTCTTTATTTTGCCTTAATTTTTGAAAGTATTTTCACTGGGTATGTATTTGGAGATTTTTGAGTCATTATTTCTTCAACATCTGTCTTTTTACTTTCATACTCACCCTCACCCTTCTCCCCACTTCCCTTCTGAGACATCAACTACACGTATATTGCACTGCTTGATACTGTCCTCCACGTCACTGAGACTCTCCACTTTCCCTTCTTAGTCTTCTTCCTTCCCACAGTTAATTTTGGAGTGTTCAGTTTCCACGTCTTCATGTTCACTGACGTCTTCTGCTACAGTGTAACCTACTGTTAACACCACCCTATGAAATTTTCATTTCAGAATATACTGCATTTCTCACCCATAGAAGATGAAATTTGGTTCTGCTGTCTCCTACTTCTCACCTCATGCTCCTCCGAGGACAGTTTAGCCTCACTATTAAGGTGTAATATGCTCTCTGTATCCAGCAAAGCCTCCCCTTGTGCTGTTGGGAATTCTGACTCCGCACCCTGTGTGAGCCCCCCAGGAATTGGGTGGATGACCGCCACCCGCCAACGACCTTTTCCCTCCTGCCCGAAGCCGTGTTTTCTGCCCTCGTGCAGTTTCAGCCACACGTGTGCAGATTAGCCAACTGTCCAACAGAGAATCACGGGGATCCCTACACATATGTCTATAGAGTTTTCTCTGTGCAGCTCTCTCTCCAGCACTCTTCCCCACAAATTTTAGTTACTTAAACTCCCCAAATTCCAGGCTTTGTCCCCTCAATCACTGAGACCACTGTCCTCTATTTGGCTTCTTCTGCCAGAGTCTGGGAATTGCTTCAGCTGGAAAACCAGGACGATCAAGGGCTCACCTGTTTTGTTTCACTTCATTCGGGGATCGCAGTCCACGCTGCCTGGAGCCCAATGTCTGAAAACGGCTGCTTCACAGATTTTGTCCTGTTTTCTAGTTGTTTACGGGGGGAGGCTACATTCCAACCCTGTTATTCCCCCATGGTTGCCACAAAAGTCTCCTCCCACCGACCTTTTAGAAGTTGATTTGGTTCTTTCTTAAATCTCTGGGGTCATTTTTATAGTAATCTGGTCCCTAAAGATATTTCACACGTCTTTTATTTCTTTAGAGTAACACAGTTGTTTTTCAAGCTGTATCTGGATTCTAAAATCTGACGTCTCTGTGGTGTTTCCACTGGCTCTCTCTCACGACACCTTCTTTGCCTTTTTATAGGCCTTTTGTTAGACATTTTCCCCAAGCTACTCTAACTTAAAAATTACCACAATAAAACAAAGCACAAAAGTAAAATGAAGGGAAAAGTAAGCTCTGTCAGGGAGAGGAGGGCTGGGGATGATGCCTTGTGTGAGTTAATTCCCTGCGGACCCTGGCAGCAAATGTTTCAAGGTTACAACTGCTGAGACTTTTGACTCTTCAGCCTCAAACTTGACTCTGAGCTCACCTGCTTTGTCCTCATGAGATCACTGGAGAAAATGTGAGTAAACTTCACGTTATTAAGAAATATACCAGCAGCAGCTGCTTGTTTAAATCCAGTTTCTGAAAGAGGCTCATCTATTCCTTGTCCTGTGGTATTAAGAGAAAGAAGAGTAACATTCAAATATATACACACACACACACACACACACACACACACACACACACACACACACGGGATGCAATAAAAATCACACCTAAGAGAATATAAAGAGCATTTATCTATATTTTATTAAAAGATTTCCTTGGGTACTTTTCCACATAACTTTTCAGAGAACCGAAAGCAAGCTAAATTCAGCTAGGATCCTGTAAAAGCTCTTCTGCATCTCCCAGAAGAATGTTTGTCTGGCGAGAACTGGGTAATGAGGAGGAGGCTGCCCCGAGCTCTCCCCGCCACATCGCCCATCACTTCACCACGTGTTTTATTAGTGCTGCCCCCAACCTTATGTTTTCAGCTCAGCTGCTGCGCTTGGGCAGCCGGACCATCACCTAGAGAAGTTTTCCTTCATCTCCACTGTGTGAACTCAGTAACGTTCAGTATTGCGAGTCATTCTCAATGAATGCTGACAAGCCTCCTACTAATTTAGAGCAAGTAACAGGTCAGCCAATGACTCAACACACAGGAAAATAACCTGTCATGAATGAGAGTTGGCAGAAACAACAAGTAACAGATTTGGAACCACTAATACGTCAGACGTGTAAATCAGCAGAGACTATAAACAGAGTCACAGAAATAAGCGACAACAAGCAATCAAAAACCAGATAGCTTTCCAAAAGAACCAGACAGGTCTTTTAATAGTGAAAAATGGAATTGCTGAGGAGGGGAAAAAAAACATCCCTCAGTGGATAAAAGGAGATTCATTAAGCTGAGAAGCTTCACGAGCCCAAAGGCAGGGCTGAAGCTGGCCCCTGGCACAGACACGAGGAGACGGAGAAGCACAGATGTGTCAGAGACATGGAGAAAGGACGAGGATTCCTGAGCACATCCAGTGGGAACTCCAGAAAGACAAGAGAGAAAATGGAGAACAGAAGTGAGGGAACACATAAAACTACAGATGAAGGAAACACAGGGTACACCAAGAAGGATAAATTACTAAAAAAAAAAAAAGTACCTTCCTAGATTTAGTAAGAGAAACTGTAGAATACCAGAATAAAACACAAAGACTTTAAAAGCAGTTACAGAGAAAAAGACAGATACCCACGGTGGGACACCATTTGGATGAGAAAAGACTTCTGAAGCCAAAAAGCAGCAGATGAATAGCTCCCAGGAGCTAAGAGAACTGTGAGTCTAGAACTGTCTGGACTAAAAAAGATTGAGGAGAATAAAAACAGAATTGTCTGGAATAGAATCAGTTGAAACTATCTTTACCACAAATTGATTTACACAAGAGGACTTTTCAAAAAAGGTGTTTCAGGAATGAAGGTCTGAGACGCAAAAGAAATGGTGAGGAGAGAAACTGGCAAATACAGATGTCAATCTAAACAAACACTAGGTAACAAATTAAATAATAATGCCTACATTGCATGGTTAAAAAAGGACAGGACTGAGATACTCAACAGCAGCACATACTTTGTATTTTTTCAGGAGAGATGATATTTCTCTTACACTTTGTTAGGCACAAATGGTAAAGATATAAAGGCAACCATCAAAAGGATAGAGATGGCTTACTTTGAGGCCAGTAGGGAAAGTTAGAGAGGGTTGGAAGGTGAGTGAGAAGGAAAGGACTAGATAAAGAAGGGAGAAAAGAACCACAAAGGAAAAGTCCAAACACACCAGAAACCAGAGTCAATGTGGACAGACCACTCTCACCAGTTAACAGAAAGATCATATTTCTTTTTTTTTTTTTTTCTTAAGAAGAATCAGAATCAGCTGCCTACCATTTACAAGGTAACACTTAGGACATCAGTACACAGCAAGGTTGAACGGAAAGGGATACGAAAATATATACCAGGCAAATCCCAACCCCAAACAGCCGGAGTTGCCACATCACTCTCAGAAATGCAGACTTTATGACAAAAGTCTTAGAAAGGATTGTGAAGATCACTATAAACAATCAGTGTTCCCATTCACCACGAAGACAGAGCAATTTTAAAACCTGTATGTGCCTAATAAGTTAGCCTCTAGCTGTATAAAAGCAGAACACATAAAGCACAAGTTGACAGAACTTCAGGTATTAAAGGATGAGCTGGCCATCACAGCGGGAAATTCAACATATCTCACTCATAAATTGATGCTTAGCTCATACAGGCAAATAAGTAAATTTACAAAATTAGTAAAGTATGGAAGATTTGAACAACAAAATCAAGGTCAAGTATTTGATATAGAACTCCACACCCAACAATTAGAAAACAGATTTTTTCTCAAACACACAGTAGTAGGTTTATAAAAACTGACCATGCTAACCAATTTCAAAGACGTATTATCAAATAAACTATATTGTCAGAACACAAAGCAATTACACTGGAAGTCAATCACAAAAGATGCAGAACAAAACCAAAAAGCCCACTCATTTGGAAATTTAAAAAACAGTTCTAAATAACTCATGGGTCAATGAAGAAATCATAATGGAAATTTAAGATACTTGGTGCTGAATACTTATCAGATTACTACAAATCAAAACTGCAGGTATGTGACAAAAAAATGGTACTTAGAAACATATAAGGCTTGAGGGTTTTAAAAAAAATAAAAAGGAGGCTATAACTTAAAGAACTAAGCATCTAACTTCCAAAGTTAGGAAAACCCAAAATAGACCTAAAAAACAGGTGTGAACATGAAAATTTTATTCATGTTTTACCGTCAGCTTCGAATGAAATGAGACAAAGGAGCAGGGCCCACGGACAAGGCAGTACTGTACGTGAGCCCAGAGGATGCTCTGGGTGGGGCCCAGGTCAATGGGAAATAGAGGTGCGTTTAATTATCAGACTGATTTCCAGAAGAGGGAGGCAAGCACACGGGGTATGAAAATCAGCTTCTGCAAACCCCAGATGTCCCTAACCCAAAAATATAAAACTAAATACTTGTATAATCCAAGCAGAGAAATAGCATGTCTAGCTGAAAGATATTCTTTAAAAGCCAGACCAGCTGGATCACAGGGAGATTAAAAGATCTGAACCCAAATGAACAGAACAAGGCAGGGGGCAGAGAAGAGTCTATTCAGAATAAAGCAACAACCCCATGTGAGAACAGGAATTCTCTTTTTAAACCATTTCTTTGTTACTACTAAAAATAATATAAGTATCTTAGCAGAAAAATACCATTAACACCAGCCAGTAAATTTTTTGTTTCCAAATGTGAAATCATTTAAAATCCTGGCAGATACATTTTAAGACAACTAGACTCAATATAACTCCTTAATCAGCTTTGAAGCTGCCCACGAACAACTTGGAACACTGTTCTTTACGTCTAATTCACTCAAGAGACTCTTGGTTACCATCTGCTCTGATCATATTTCTGTGACCATGATGATTTAATTCCATAATCCCACTTCACAGTGCAGAGTGGCCCCCGGTCCACCCTACCCCACCGGCTCTGATTAACCCATATTTCACATTAATACTAACAGAGAGAGCTAAAATAAGAGTCAGAGCATACCAACCTTGAAGGATTTTCTCCTTGTTAAGTCTTGTTTCTCCACTAAAACAGGGAGGGAAAAAAGCCTTTATTACCAAATTAGGTTATTTTTGAAATGAGGAAAAAAAAATCAGCAACAAAAGGTAATGATACTTGTAAAGACACAGCATGTTGTACGTACGTCAGAATCTAACCTGTAAAGATAAAATTACTCTAGACTACTGTCTGCAATCATCTATTCTATGTGCCCAATCGATAAGCTAAAAATTTCAAATTGCCCCAAGTTAAAATGTATAGATCAACAATCTTAAGTGAACTAAAGGTAGAAAATGCTATTTTAAAAGTAGTATACGTATAATGTATAAAAAATTTTTGTTAAATAATCTTCTTAAATATGTTGATCAAAACTACTCCCACAGGCATCGGGACCAAAACACGACAGCTGGTCCATCCGTCAGTCCGCTGCGCTGAGCGGACAGGCGTGAGGGACGGAGAGCGGAGCGCAGACCTGCAGACCCCGCCCCTGCCTCCTCGGTCCTGGAGCTGCTCAAAGCTGCTCCACTTTGCAACACCAAGGAATTACAAAAGCAAACCCAACCCACTCTGAAGCAACCCGGAGAGCGATGGGGGGAAGTGGTGTCGCAAAGCAACTGGATTGAGGCTGGAGGGGGAAGGTGAGGGTGAGGGCACCTGGACCAGACCAGACAACAGAGTGCAGGTGGGAGCTGGTGTGTGCTGTGCGCACACTGGACAGAAAACTGGAAACGGTGAGGGGAAACACCCCACAGGCCTCTTCAGATCGAGTTATCACCTCATCTGGAATCAACTGTCCCCACAGCCCACGTCCACAGCCTTTCATGTCGGTGAGAGGTGAAAATCCGTGACAGGGAACCTCGCTGCCATCTTTCGGGCCCAGGAGCAAGACTGCTTGGCGCTACACTCACCTGCTGGGTTAAGCTCAATGCCTCAGCTTCCTCATCTGTAAAATGGGGATAATAAATGGTCCCAACCTCACAAGATTCTCGGGATGATTGGATGAACACAGGTAAAGCATCCAGAACACTGCTTAGCTTTAGGAAGCACTCAGTAGTTGTATTTAAAAGTCATTTTTCAACAGACTATATAGATATCCAAGACTTAATGCATTTTTAATCTTTTAAAAATTATGAAATAAATAGTAAATAATATAATGATAAAGCCAGCAGGCACATAACACCACCCAAGTTAACAGATCAGTGCCAGCCCCCAGGACCCTGCCCCTGTCCCTCACGATGTCCTCCCTCCCCAGCGGATCCCCGGCCAGGACTTTTACCTGCTCAAGTGCTCACCCTTCCTCTTCGCTTTCCTGCCCGTGTGCAGCATAGATTAGTTTGCCTGTTGTTGAACTTTACAATGACTTGCTTCTTACTCTATATGGTTTTCTGTGTTGCTTCTTTTGTTCAACATTTTGGGAGATACACCAGTGTTGCTGAGCGTGGCCGTACTTGATTCGCGTTTTTACTGTGTAAACTTCACTGTAAGGATTTACTACAACGTAGTACATGGTCCACTGTGATAGACACTTAGACTGTTTCCAGTTCCGGGCTACACTGCCATGAACATGTTTGTTCAGAGCGCAGCAGACTCTCTAGGGCAGTGGTTCTCAAAAGCATGGTCCCTGGACTTGCATCACTGGCATTGCCTGTTAACTCATTGAAAATGCAGTGTCTCAGGCCCCACCTGCCCCCAGACACACTGACTCAGGAGCTCTGAGGTGGCGGCCCAGCAGTCTGTTTTAATAAACCCGCCAAGTGATGCTGATGCGTGCTCACATTTGAGATTCACTCAAGGACTGGTAAGCAAGTCTTTCCATGAACCAAGTTTTGTTGGAATACAGTCATACCCATACATTTATTTATTGTTTATGACTGTTTTCACACTCTAATGGTGGAAATGATCAGTTCAGACAGACCATGTGGCCTGCAAAGCCTAAACCATTCACTCTCAGGAGTCTGTTGACCCCTGCCTAGGGACCTGTGCCTAGCACCAGAACTGCGGGGCCATGGCGCATCCAGCTTTATTCGATAAGGCCAAAGTGGTTATACCAGTCACGACCCCTCTGCAGCGTTCCACATCCTCACTATAATGTGACAGCTTTCAATTTGTGCCAAGATGGAAGCTGAACAGTTTATCTCACCTTGACTTTAACAGGCGTTGCCCTGATTACCATGAAGGCTCATCACTCCTGCTTTGTTTTTTACGTGAAGCGGTAGTTTAAAAAGAAAAATATCTCGCGTGGCATTGATTCACTCAGACCCAGAAAGGAATATGCCATCAGACCTTAGTCGGGATCACAAACTCGGGTCTCTGCCCCTCATTTATAAAAACAGTGGTTTTTCAACCTCACCTAGAGCACAGGTTCTTAAACTTGAGTGTGTCTCAGAATCCCCTAGGGGTCTTATTAAAACAGAGACCGCTGGACCTGGCCACAGTGTTCTCATTCTTCAAGACCCAACACAGCCAGATGACTCCTTGAATTAGCCTTCCCTCTCCAGCGCCGCTCCCTACCGCCCCATCCCATTTAACTACCCCAACTCTGCGCTCCCATTTTTCCCAGCACTACTGTAGTTAGTTACCTTCTGTGCTACGCTGGTTAACTTTTGTAGTCGTGCATCTATCCTGGCCCCAGTTCCTTAAATGCCACGGCCAGAGGCTGCATCACCCTAACATGCCTGGTACCTGGAGAAAATCCTGGGAAATAACAGAACCTCAGTGTACATGCTCTTTGGATGGAGGGTCATCTGGAAATATCCACCAAAATGACAAGTCTGTTTACCCTTTGATTCAGCAGCCCTATTACTGGAAATGCTTGCATTCATCTAGATTTAAAAGAATATTTGCTACAGTATATTTCTAACAGCAAAAGATGGTAAATAACCTAAATTCCCTTTAGCAGGGAACCTGTTACTTTAACAAATAAACAGTGGGATATCTACCTGATGGAATTCGATGTGGCTGTGTCTGCTGGAGAGTGATTTACGTAAAGAGATGGAAAAATCACCAAGACATATTCAGCAGAAAAAGCAAGGTATAGAATAATATACAAAGATTGCTACCTTTTTAGAAAGGCAGGACAGGGACTTCCCTGGTGGTGCAGTGGTTAAGAATCCGCCTGCCAATGCAGGGGACGCGGGTTCGAGCCCTGGTCCGGAAGATCTCACATGCCGCGGAGCAACTAAGCCCGTGTGACACAACTACTGAGCCTGTGCTCTAGGGCCTGCAAGCCACAACTACTGAGCCCTTGTGCCACAACTACTGAAGCCTGCGTGCCTAGAGCCCGTGCTCTGCAACAAGAGAGGCCACCGCAAGGAGAAGCCCGAGCACTGCAACGAAGACCCAACACAGCCAAAAATAATTTTTAAAAAAAGAAAGAAAGAAGGAAAGAAAAAGGCAGGACACAAGAGTAAACGTTTGCATCTGCACGAGAGATGCCGGGAGGACGCAGAGGCTGTGGTCACCTGCAGGGTGAGAGGACAGAAAACTCAGGAGAACTGTTCTGATTTCTAAACATGTGGATGTAGTGGCTTAAAAAATATACAACAAATGAGTGAAATTACACAGCACTACTAGCCACTCACTTGCCAGTATTATCGTTCTTGAGGTGAGTATTAATAAAAGATGTCTTGTAGCATTCCAAAACCCATTCAGAATCGTATGAAATGGATATGAAAGAGATTAAGCTCTGTGGTTCAGATGAACAAAGCATCCAGGGAAGTGATGGGGAAGGCATTGCTTCTCATACAGAAAACAGTTCCCAAACACTGGATCCACTTCCTGTCTGTCTCAGCCTCACAGTCTTGCTGAGACCGAGAATAAAAGGGCTGTGCTTCACTTCTGTACAAGTGACGTCCTCTTTAGACAATGGCTTTATAACCAATTCAATTACCAGCAAAATTCAAAGAACGCCTTCCTGGCCCCCAATCCCATATTTACTTCTATACAGAAACCTCAGAAGGTTTTGCCCACTTACTGTGGATCACAAGCTCTCTCGCTCATTGTACAAATTCAAAATCAAGGGTGAGAAGAAATTTAATAATTACGCTGGACCAGGTCTTTACAAATCACACAAATGATTTGCCAAGATGATAACTTTTTGTATGCTTACTGAAAAGGTAGCTCAAGATTTTAACTTAATCCCAATAGCTGATTTGATCAAGGATTCAGAATAAAACATTATATCATCAAAATGTCATCCTATTAAAAAACAGAATCCCAGTACTTTGATAATTTGTAACAGTACTGCCCCAGCATCTCACCAATTTCAGCAAAAGGAGAAAAAATAGCTATAATATAATAAAAGATTTCCTTTAGCTGTAAGTCAGTAGAGACTGCTGCAGACATTAGTGCATTATTAATAATCACTGGTGTTCTACTGGGCAGTTTTTGCTTTCAAGTCACTTTATAAACATTATAGTGTAAGAATCCAGAAAGAATTTTTTTCCAAAAATGTGCACAAATATTTAGTTTTACAGCTTTTATCAGCTTTTCTGAGAGGTCTGTACAAATGCTTGAAGCAACTGTTTAGTTTGTTTGGGGCGCGGGAAACGAAAGTGGGTGTGGCTAAAATAGGTTTACTATTAAGCTGCTTCCCTAACCAAAGCTTGGCTTGTAGCAGTGGCAGGGAAGGCACGGGGAGTGGAAAGATCAGAGGAATGTATTTTAAAGGAGTCAGGAATAACAGCACTCATTCTCAAAACCTGCAGTGTGATTCACTTCCAAGACAGATGCCCGACTCTGCGAACACGCAAACGCTTAGGCCAAGAAGTCAAGTCTTATGACCGGCCGTTTAAAGGCCCACAAATATGCACCATTTATTTTGTGGATTATCATGCTGTTCTTCCCTTAAAAAGACATGTTATTTTGTTAGTTCTGGTTTGTATTCTATAGCGTTTCTCGAGAAATCATATAGAAAGCTTAATTTCCCAATCACATCCTTTTTAATAATTCAAATTCCACAGACCAGTACTCGGTTTGCTGCAGCAGAGACAAATCATGGGAAGTCAGTATATATTTGGGGCAAGTTTTCAAAATAGATATGCTTTGGGGTACACAGGAATGGAGTGTACTCACCTGATATTTAATCATGAATATACAGCTTTATCCTAATTCCTCCACACCAGTTAATTCATTTGAAAATGGATTAATAATTTGAAAACACAGAAGATTTCAAGCGCTAGTAACATGGAGAGTTTCACCAGATGGTCTGGGGGCAAAAATGTAAAATACTCAATTCATGATATACTTTTATCTATATGTAGATTAGGCCTAGTTGCATAGGCTCTCCCAGTTAATCAACCCTACTCCCAGAAAACAAATATCACAGTAACATAACAATTACATGCATCTTGATAAAAGTTGACAGATGATCCAATATTCATTTGGCCTGCTGTATTAACAAACAGAACAATGACTAGCATTCATGAAGACTAAGGGCCGACAGAGGCAGAGTAAGAAAAACCAATCAGTTTTGCTGTCAGTACCTACACTGATTCATCATCTTTTTTCGGAGCACGGGCTCCGGACGCGCAGGCTCAGCGGCCATGGCTCACGGGCCCAGCCTCCACCAGGGAAGCCCCATCATTCATCATCTTTAAGTAGTTAAAAGTAAAGGAAATTTAGTTTGTAAAAATGTTTAAAGAGCTAGCTAAAAACGGAAGTGAAATGGGATGGTTTTGCAGGCAACCAACTGCAAACTCCTACAAAGGAGGAACTAGGGAACTATGGCCTTCAATGTGCCGTGTGGGTGATGGCATATACTGGGGTTTTCAACCATGCTGCTCTAACGCCACCAGACGCTACAGCTCAATCAGACTAGTAGACTTGAAGTTTGAAAGGTGGGGTATTCTGTTCCAAAAATGATACAACTGGTAACTCTCACTCTCAAGTATGATGATGAAGACCAACACACAGATGGTAACAGCACAGATTCATAAAGGATTTGGCTGAACTTAAAGAAACTGCATTTAAAAAGTTTTCTTGCATTATCCAAAAATTATCCAACTCTTATACACACTGAGTTTCAAAGCATTTGACAGAGTCAGGTAATAGAAAACTCAAGGTAAATTCCCACTATTATGCCCAATGATTCAATCTTGCTGATTCCAGTAAGAGTCATTACATTGAACTCTGGTGATCAATCAAGTCTGAAATTGTTTCTTTTCCTGAAAGAATCATCAATTTTTAGCTTTGAAAACTCTGAAGGAGAAAACTAACCCTATCAATTATTTCAACACTTCCTTTGCACTTTCCCATGAATAAAACAGAGCAAAGTAAACTATTCGTATCACTCTTTATGGTTATATCACAGGAAATAAAAAGTAGCCTCTGAAATGGCTGATGATATTCAAGCAACCTACAAACACTAGGTTTTAACTCTGTAAAATAGGAGGCAGAAGAGCATAGTAGATAGTTAAGAGGATGGGCCGCAGTCCTGCTGCCTTGGTTTAAACGTCACCACCCCAACTTGTCATGTGACTATAAGCAAGTCACATGCCCTCCGTGTCTGTTTCCTCACCGGCAAATTGAGAAGCCAGTCTTTACCTCACCAGATTGTTGTCAGAATTTAATTACAACAGTGCCTGGCACAAACTAATTTATTAAGACTTATTTTTTAATTAATTCCTCATAGGAATTCTATGATGAATCCATTTTAAAAATCAAGCCCTTTTTAAGAAGCAGGGAGGGAATAAAATCCACACTCATGTAACTATTGTTTATTAAGAAACTAAATAAGGATCATCTTGTTTTTCAAAGGGTGGTTTTGTCCAGATTTTCTACGACTTCTGAGTGGCAATTACATGCCAGGCACTGGGTCAAGGCATCCAGAAACTTTTGAGGAAAGGGCAATCAAGACGCTAATTCCTGTTCTGCTACTGACTAGCTGTATGACCTTAAGAAGGTCACACGATGGTCATAAAGCCTTCTAAAAATGGAGAGGGGTGGGGTGGAAAGAGAGGAGCTCGATTTCTAGCTCAGTCATTAAAATCCTGTGAATCCTAACAGAACAACTTCAGATGGTTGCCAAGATAATCTTCCTATAAAGTAAAAACAGGACCAAAAACGATAGCAGCTAAAGTCAGCTTGACAAGGTTAGACCATATTGCTGTTCTCCACAAACTCCACAATGTCAAAAACGGCATCTTAGTTACCCGTAACCCTGTAACCCTTAGTTACCTGCTGACACACAGCACCCACTCAGAATGCTGGTCCCATTAACCGTACACACAAATTGGAGGCCTCACTGCATCTGTATCAGAGCTGTCCTTACAGAAACAAAAGTTAGTTTATTCTCAGATATATTTCTCCCCCTCCACTGTGCTATACGCTTCACCTTTCTGACATTTCGTTATCACACTAACCCAGCGAAGTGGGTTCTATCACTACCGCCATTTTATAAATCAGGAAACTGAGGTCGTAGAGATTAAGTCGGTAAAAGGAAGCCCAGGTTACAAGGCTCCTAGCTGGAGCCCAGATTCTAACCTATGTCGATCTTTCTCGAAAAATCTGTGCTCCTGACCTCCCTGAATTCCACCTCCCATTAACACCGGGCCAAGAAGAGTCGAGAAGGAAAAAGGAAGAGACGTAAAGACTTGTCAGCATTTAGCTCCCTGTAACGTTATATGATAAACATATTTATTCGGGGCGATGCAGGCGGCTGAGAGCAGGGCGAGGCCCCCTCTCCTTCCCCAGCGACAGAAGATCTGCGGATAAGGAGCGAATCTCAGACACAAGCCTGGGCGAGCGACCGACGGGACAGAGACGGAGCCGTCGCAGAGCCTGCAGCGGAAACGTCGGCCCCGGACCAGTCACTCTGCAGACCCTGGGGGACCGGCCGGGGGCAAACGCGGGGCCCGGGAGGTGCGGCGACAGGGCTGTCTCTTCCGCTTCAGCTGCCCCCGGAGACGGGGGTCCCTGACACTCACTCCTCCCGACCTCCCTGTCCCCATCGAACGCGGGACTGCTGCCATCTGGCACCTGGCTTCCCGCTCAGTTTCGCTGGGGCAGGAGGGCCAGTAGGGGGTAACTCATAGGAAACACCTAGAAATCGCCAGGCCGAGCCTCGGAGGAGCAAATGGGACGGGCAGGGCGGGGCGGGTGCAGATCTTCGGTCCCCCAGCCCAGCCCGCAACACTCCACGGAGGGGAAAGGGCAGCCCGCGCCGGCCATACTCACTGCCGGACCACTGTCAGAGCGAAGCGCGTCATCCCGCCGGCGCCGGGACAGAGCGAAGCAAAGGCCGCACGCGCCGCCCGAACCGTCACCCGCACTCCGCACAAGCCACCAGTCACTGCGTCCGCCGCACCCCGCAGCTTCCGCACTCCGCCACCGGCCGGCTCCGCTGCCATAGGCCAAGGCGGCCGTTACGTCACTCCAGGACGGCCAATCAGGGCGGCCGGGGGCCGGCAGGTCGCGGAGACTGATGTGCGGCGAGGCCCCGCCCAGGGCCGTGGCGCGTGCGCCCCTACGCGCCGGCCCGTGATTGGTGCGCGGCAGGTGCGGCGGCCCCGCCCCGGACCGGGAGGCGGGGCGTGCCCGGGGAAACCCGGTCCTGTAGGCTACGAGCGGCTAAGGGGCGCCGCTCCGATTGGGGTGGGTCTGATTGGAAGCTGGAGTGCAGCCAGCAGTCCTGCTTCGTGGGTGTACAGCGCCAGACACGTTCGGTCCTGTGAGGTTTGCATTAACCCCCGGCACTGGGGGGGTGTAGGGTCAGCAGGGTCTGCGCGCTTAGACTCGCCCGGCTTGAGCCCTCAGCTCCGCCTAGACCCGCTCCGGGAGCAAACTCTGGTCTGGTCCTTTGGAGCCCTCGTGTAGACTAGGCCTCGTGCCTGGCCTGCTGAGCCTGATTTTACCAAAGAATCCTGCGAAGCCACTCGATCGAGAATCCCCCCCACCCTTGGTACCTAATCAAGCTCCTCTTCCTCCACTCTCGATTTCTAATCACGTTCCTCATCCCACCCGCCACCCTACCCCCCAATATCTCACCAAGTTCATCTTGGTCATTTGGTCTTGGTCGTTCTCTCCTTCACCCTGCCCCCTGGCTGTAAATCTCCGTTGGTCCCTGTTGTGTTCAGAGTTCCATTCAGTCTGTTTCCCCCATCGCAGTAGTCTGTAGTAAAGTCTTCCCTGCAGGTTTTTAAAGAGGATCTGGTGAATAATTTCTCTTTAACAGCCTTCAGGGCCTTGAGACAGTTACTTAACCTCTCTAACCCTCCATTACGTGATAGGTAAGATGGGATAACGGTACTCAGCCATGACACAGGTAGAGTGTAATCATGTAAGGTTTACAGTTGTCTTCCATGCGTTGTTACTTATATTCTCATATTTAATAATGCATTTGTTTCCTTAAATCCCCAATTGTATAAGAGAAGATGGGACCCTCAGAACAACTCTGAGGTCCACAGGTTATCTTCACTTAAGAGATGAGAAATCTAGCCTAGAGAGAAACTAAGCAGTTTGTCCAGGTTCACGGCTAATTGTGGTGACTCAGGACTAGTTCAGAGATTCTCAAACCTACCTGCACATTGGAATCACCTAGGATTTTCTGAATGCCAGGCTGCACCCCAGAAAAATTAAAAAGGAATCTCTTTGCGAGGGACCCAGGCATCAGTAATTTTTTAAATCTCCAGCTGTTTCCAGTGTGCAGCCAGTTTTGAGCTAGAAGTTTAAAGCAGTGCTTCTGAGACTTGAACTGTGCACACAAGTCACCTGGGGATTTTGTTAAAATGTAGATTCTGATTCAGTAGATCTGGAGTGGGGGACAAATTCAGCACCTCTAACCAGGTCCCAGGGAAAGAGTCCATCTTCAGGATGCGGTTAGAGGGATCATTCAGAGGTTCCTAACAGGGGGTGGGGATTACCATGGGCGTCCACTGCCTGTCCTTAGTAGATACTCCATGTATGTGTTCTGAATGCCTGATTGAAAAAATCGATCAAACAGATTCTTCTGGAAATTTGAACTGAAAAATTAAAGGTAGTTACCTGTGAGGGCGAAAGAAGAAAGAAAGTATGGAGATAGAGCCCAAGGCAGTGTGTAGACTGAAGCTATGAAGAAACGGAAACCACCAGCAATACAAGCTTGAAAGCAAAATTACAGAGTAGAAGGTAAGAGCAAGCAAATATAGTGGGGAACTGAGTAGACAGACAGAAAGAAGACACAGTGAGCAATGCAGAGACCACCTGGTCCCTACTTCCTCTCTCCAGCTGCCCGAGCACCAGGTACCTTGTTGATTCTGGTTTTTCCAATAAAACCCCTTTGTGTTAAGATGGTCTGAGTGCATTTCTAAATGTAACTAAAAATAGCCTTCCACTTTGTCTCATTTTATTACTGCAATACCTCTGGAGGGAATGAGTTACTATTTCTATTTTACAGATGAAGATATTAAGGCACATAGAGGTTAACTAATTTCCCATCTCTCAGGATCTCAGAACTGAGTTTGGCCATAGGTAGTGCTCCAGGTGGTATCAAAACCATAACTATGGGCTTCCCTGGTGGTGCAGTGGTTGAGAGTCCGCCTGCCGATGCAGGGGACACGGGTTCGTGCCCCTGTCCGGGAAGATCCCACATGCCGCTGGGCGGCTGGGCCCGTGAGCCATGGCCGCTGAGCCTGCGCGTCCGGAGCCTGTGCTCCGCAACGGGAGAGGCCACAACAGTGAGAGGCCCGCGTACCGCAAAAAAAACCCAAAACAAAACCATAACTATGAGGGTAAGTACTGGATCTTTTCCTTATTTCCCTGGCTCCTATCAAAATGTTTAGAACAAAGTAGGGGCTCAATTAAAATTTGTGAAATGAATGAATGAGGAATCTCTTTTATCGTCAATTTGTCAAATGAATCAAACATCTAAAAAATTAGCTGATATAAGGGGAGAGAATTGTTTTTGGAGAAATTTAGAAAATTATAAAGCATCAATATTACTTTTTTAATTATCCAAGAACTATGTATAAAAACGATGTTTTCATAAACCTTAACAATCAGGAAAAAACAGTTGAGAAATGAGGATCTTTGAAAGAATGGACGTTATCCTGCATTATTCACTCAACCGTTCAGAGATTACCCTTCAGCTTGTAAAATGAACAAGGAGTTCATTTAAATGTTGTTTAGAGAGAAGCGAGAAATAACCACTGCTATACTTTTGTTGAAAACGTATCAAATCACATATGCTATCTTTTTTAATGAAAGAGGATGCTTTGTTGTGGCAGCTCATATGATGGAATTCCGAATTAGTCAGGATAGGCCAAGTTATGCTGAGGTAACAAATTCATACTGAAATTTCCATGGCTTACCACATAAAAGTTTATTTCTCTACGTGTGTGACATGGAGTAAATTTGTGAATTTACTCTGCAAATTCCCTCAGGGACTGGAGTTAACAATGACATTAGTACATGGATTCATGATAACTGTGGCAGGAAATGAGGACAATTGAGGGTCTTGAACCAGTTCTTAAGTGCTTCCTCCATTCACTGTCCAGGGCTACTCACACAACCCAGCTAACTGCAAAGGTGATGGGGAGTATGGGGGAACACATAAATGTTTAGTGTGCAGACAATGCCGTACAGACCATGCATGTCTGAGTCTCCCAGGTGACCTCACCCAGTGTATAGGTCTTATTTGTGTCTCTGGTCTGCAACTTTCCCCTGATCTCCTCATTCATTTTTTCTCTTCCAGTTTTACTGACATGCAGCAGCACTGTGTAAGTTTAAGGTACATAACGTAACGATTTGATTTACGTACATCATGAAGTGACTATCACAAGAAGTTTGGTGAACCTCCATCATCTCACAGACACAAGGTTAAAGAAATCGAAAAAATTGTTTTTCTTGTGATGAGAACTCTTAAATTTACTCTCTTAACTTTCATATATAACACAGCTGTGCTCATCATCTTCATCCTGTTGTTCGCTACATCACTAGTATTTAATCTTATAACTGGAAGTTTGTACCTTTTGACTGCCTTCATCCAATTCTCCCTCCCCTACCCCCCACCGCCTCTAGTAATCACAAATCTGATCTCCTTTTTCTATGAGTTTGTTGTTTGTTTTTGAAGTATAGTTGACCTAAAACTCTGTTAGTTCCTGTTATGCAACATAGTGATTCAATATTTCTGTACATTTCAAAGTGATCACCAAGATAAGTGATTAAACATGTCACCTATATTCGCCACACCATACATTTAAAAAATATATTTATTTATTTGGTAGCACTGGTCTTAGTTGCAGCAGGCAGGCTCCTTAGTTGTGGCATGCGAACTCTTAGTTGCAGCATGCATTTGGGATGTAGTTCCTTGACCAGGGATCGAACCCCAGCCCCCTGCCTTGGGAACACAGAGTCTTATCCACTGGGCCACCAAGGAAGTCCCCCCTCACTGTACATTTTATACCCATGAATCATTTATTTTGCAACTGGAAGTTTATACCTCTTAATCTCTCTCACCTATGCTTTCCTCCCAGCACCCCCTTCCCCACTGGTAACCACCAGTTTGTTCTCTGTATCTATAAATGTGTTTCTGTTTTGTTATGTTTGTTCATTGGGTTTTTTTATATTCCAGATATAAGTGAAATCATACAGTATTTGTCCTTCTCTGTCTGACTTATTTCAGTTAGCATAATATCCTCTAGGTCAATCTATGTTGTTGCAAATGGCAAGATTTCATTCTTTTTTATGGCTGAATAGTATTCCAATGCGTGTGTGTGTGTGTGTGTGTGTGTGTGTGTCTGTGTGTGTGTGTGTGTGTTTATTACGTTTTTTTTATCCATTCATCTATTGATGGGCACTTGAGTTGCTTCCCTATTTTGCCTATTGTAAACAGTGCTGCTATGAACATTGGGGTGCATGTATCTTTTCAAATTAATGGTTTCATTTTCTTCAGATATATACCCAGCAGTGGAATTGCTGGATCATATGGTGGTTTTATTTGTAGTCTTTTGAGGAACCTCCATACTGTTCTCCATAGTGGCTGCACCAGCTTACATCACACTAACAGTGTAGGAGGGTTCCCTTTTCTCCACACCCTCGTCAACACGTCATCTTTTTGATAATAGCCATTCTGACAGGTGTGAGGTGATATCTCATTGTGGTTTTGATTTGCATTTCCCTGATTATTAGTGATGTTGAGCATCTTTTCATGGGCCTGTATGTCTTCTTTGGAAAAAATGTCTATTCAGATACTCTGCACATTTTAATCAGGTTGTTTGGGTTTTTTTTTTTTTTTTTTTTTT